GTAGCGCTGAGCTAATACATATAAGCTGAGGTTCTTCTTCCATGAAGCAGCTCTGTTGTCCTCTATGAATATTTTCAGTTACAGGCTGAGTCATTTCTACCTTCTCCTCTCTGTCAACGCTCTCTGGTTTCATTTAAAAGAGTCAATTGTCAGATATTGTCCAAGATTAACCTTCAGGGTGGATATAGCTCGCTAGCAGCCTCGCACCAATGACTTAGTTGACGTCATCATTTACCTGGAATGCTTTGCTTGTAAATAAAAATGGCTCCGTCCGTGTTAAAATATATTTTTAAAAATTTACAAAACTAAACAGCCTACAGTATTTTTACAGTCTTTATTTTACAGTTAAAATATGTGTTTATCAAATAAAGTCTAATGCTTCAACTAATCGGGGGTCCCTTTAAGAAATTTTCTTTGACTGGACCCGTTTAAATTTTAATTGAAAACCCTTCTTTAAAGGGACATGTCATGCAGAATCCACTTTTTTAGCCGTTAAATAAACTTTATTGTGAACTTTATTGTGCGTCTCTACGAGAACAGAAACAGAAAAGTTTAAGTTAGTTCCTCACAGTGCTGTGTAGATATCTCTTAATATTCTGTTTAGGTCATTATTTTTCAATCCGTTCAGTTTTCTCTATTTTCCAGGACATGTTCTGAACTATTACAACACAGTATTTGCTACAGAACTTCTAAATAAGGTCTGGACTTAACAACTACAATTTAGTGGTCTTCATTCTCCTCAGTCTGGGTCAGACTCTGTTACCAACAACCAAAGTGTTGAAAGAGGGACTTGCAGAGTTACAAAAAAGAGGAGTTCAGGCCAAAATATTGCAATTCCACTATATATAGACTCCAACTAAATGATTTAAATGTGAAAAAGAAGGATTTAGAAGCATGATATGTCTACTGTAACTGACAAACAGTTCTTTGTGACCTTTTAAACATTTCTCGTCCCACTGTTGTCTTATCTTTTGTATTCTTCCTTTTAGTTGTGGTTCTGGGTCTCCTCTGCACTACAGAAATCAGCAGAGCAGGATCATTACCTCCTCACCGGGAGGTCACTCTCGAGTTAATTCCCCAAGTATATCCAACATGGCCGCCCTAAGGTGAGTTTATTTCACCTTACAGAACGTGAAACTAAAGTTCAGAACAGATAACCAGTAAAGGTAAAGAGAGGTTTGTCATGTTTACTCACTAATGTTTATGAATACTAATCCAAAACTGCATTTCATCTGTTCCTTTTTTCTTCTAATCCCAGCCGTGCTCACTCTCCAGGCATGGCGGCTCCATCCTTTTCAGGTGCATCTCGCTTCAACACCACTTTCCACAGCCTGTCCCCTAGAGGGCACCGTGGTTCATTACCCTTAACCAACAGCACTATTAATGAGACGATGCCTACGCCAGACATGGAGCCCATCGTACCCGACCTGTGCGTGGAGCAGCTGTGGAGTGAGACCGTCACGGCAGGCTGTCACAAGTAATAACCAGCAAAGAGCCATGTTGAAAACAGACGCAGACATTCAGACTTGAGCCATTTAGAGCAATGACAGTGATTAGATGGATTAGTGATATTTGTATTTAAATATAAAGTCGTTTCTCTTTTTCTAAATGATTGCCTTTGTTAGATTTTCAGTAATTTTAGGGCACTTGAGACTGCTTATGTAGGAAATGCATACATACATTTTTGTCAGATTTTGCTTGTCAGATAACCTTTTTATGAGTAAAAACAGACAAATGAAAAACTTTCTTGTAATATTGTGTTAAGCTGCTCTTCAATCTTTTTTTCCCCTTCAACATGGTCAGAGAACCACAACCAAATGTACTTTCTTGTTTAAAATAATTACTAAATTCTGGTGACAATGGTAAATGTAACATGATTGTTTAAAAATAAGAAGTGTACATAAACAAGGTAACAGTAAAAGTTAAGAGAGTAACTAAAAGCCTCTTTAAGGAACAATAAATATTTAAGTATTTTAGAAATCTGTAGAAATAGATAATGCATTTTTAGGATTTATTTTTCTTATTTATAGGTGTTCAGCTCTTTTGTTTTAATAAATCTCGTTTCGTATTCACAGGGAGATGAGCAGCCAGGCATCTAAAGTATTCATCACTTCTGACCTCTGTGAGAACTGCTACCTCTGTTTCCTGGTGGAGTCTCATCAGCAGCTCAGGTCAATACATATACATATACATATACATACCGATATACATGTACATTACACAATGTCCTGATTTACAGTGGGAGTGATGCTTTTGTGTAAGATTACAAGCAGCTGTAGTAAACCGTGTGACACTTTGAGCTGTACTGGTGTAGTTTGTGTCTACGTTTGTTGTTATATTGGTTTTTGCATCATAATTAATGACCTTCTTTTCAACTCAATTTCTTGTCCATGTCAGCTGCAGAGAAGCAATGTCCTTTCTGTGACTCTGAACAGACTGACATCACATTTACAGCCACATCACATTTAATTAGCTGCCCTTAAACTTGGAGTACACACTGTACTCATTGCAGACATTTAAAGCCGATTGCTGAGATGTTTAAATTAATTCTTGGACAACAGTTTTAGGCTGCAAGCTTATATCAAAAATTTGTTCAGGTTATTACAGATTTTAGAATTATATAAATAGTGGAATCTGGACCTGTAAGTGAACATGCCTTGTGGCATTTGCCCTGTGTTCAATCAGTGAATCACATTGAAGTTGATGCCCTGTGCCTCAGTAGCATTTCTTAAAACGGATGGGTAATATATCTTGAGCAATTATGAAAACCCCTCAAATGTAGTTAAGAATGTCCTCTTTTTACTAGGGGTGTAAGAAAATATCGATACACTGAAATATCGCAATATTTCATTTCCCGATACTGTATCAATATTCTAAAGCCCTGCATCGATTTTTTATTAAGGTTTAAAATGTTAACTTTCCTGCCAGCCATTCATTTATATGTTGTAGTTCAGCCTCTGACCGCTAGTTGGCCGCAGTGAGCCAGCCACTTGGCTCCTCTACCTCTTGAGGTAAAGGCTATTGTTAAGTGTTGGGTGACCATATTGTAAATTAATATTAAAAACTAAAAGCTGCAAAAATATATTTTCAAACTATTTATTGGCAAATTTAGTCTAATAATTGAAAACATGGATGAAATAAGAAATATGAAACAAATAAAATAAAATGCATACAAAGCAGAACACAGCTAAATGTATCAAAAGTATGTCTATGTAATATTAGAATTTTCTGAGACAATGAATTTTGTTTTTTCATTTTTTTCCAGTAAGAGGTTTTTATTTAATAGAATATTTGGACAAAAAAAAAAATCGCAATATATCGCCTTGCTTACATTATCACAATATATCGGGATATATCGTATCGTGACTGCTCTGTTATGATATGTATCGTATCACTAAATTCTTGCCAAGACACAGCCCTACTTTTACTATATTTGTCTTCTCTTTTGTACATTCATCTGCTTAATGTAGCTGTGGATGTTATATTTACAGTAGATCATATTTTTCTTGTTTCAACAGATGTGTTAAATTTCTTGAGAGCAACGATACGTCTCAGCTCATCTTCCCCTCTGTGACGACAATTCCTGCCAAAGATGCTGCACCTCTGCAGGTACATTAGTGTATTCAAGATTTTTAAATCTTAAAACTAGGAGCTGTAACTGCACAGTACACTAACTGACCACGAGGTACAACACCTGTACAGTCTTATGAATATTTCCCTGCATTTTTGTTCTTGTACCTGAAGTATTATGTTGGATTTTTGATCAGACTAAACAAACTATTTGAATTCATGAACTTGAGGTGACTTTTAAAGACTGAACAATTTGTCAGTAAATTGGCAACGGTCTATTTTAGTCAAGTAATGAAAAATGTTAATTTGTTAAAATTGGCAGAGTTTCTATAAAAAAGCTGTTCTGCTCCTCAGAGTATAGATGCCATGTTGGTTCTGGAAGCATGTGGCAGTCTGGTTCTTTACACAGGAATCACCAGGGTAAGTACAGCCTTTAGAAATATCCATAACTGCCATTTGTTACACTGCCTTACGTTACAGTGTAGATTATACATTTCTTATAAGAAATGTATAATCTACACATTTCTAAATCAGGTCCCACAGTTATAAAACTGATTTCCTGGTGTCGTCCTAGGTCAGTAAGGTGTTTCTTCCTGGCCCATTGTCCCCCACCTTCAGCCTTCCCAGCCAGCTCCCTCACCTCAGAACACTAGGGGAGAATGTTAGCACGCCTGCTAATGCTGGAAACAGACACATCCAAAGACTTGAGGTACCAGTTGCTGTTTGTACTTAATGCATGGCCAGAGTTTTATCGCTATAGTTTATTTTTTATTTTTTATAGACAGTTTTCAGAAAAAAAGGTCATTTATTACAATTATGGATACTTTTTCTTTTACAATTTATATAATGTTTAACAAAAATAGATTTTCTACTAAAATTCTACATTTCTACATCCATGAATTTGTCTTATTGATTGTTTTCTTCTTTCATCAGCATTACTATTTTTTGTGTTTTTCTACAGGACATTATGCCTTCTCCAGTATCTGAGCTGGAAGGTTCAAACAATAAACACCATGAGGCATCATTTTTTGAAGAATACACTTTTCAACAAGCCACCTCCTTCATTCATGCTTTACGGGATCCTGTTTGCAACCAGGTCACTCTAGTAAGTTTGTGTTTGTAATTTAAAAAAAAATCAAATGAAAATTTAGACTTCAGTCTCCATTGTTTATTAATTTTTGTTATTTAACTCATCGATAAATTTTATGAGTGTCGTGGACACGTCAACAGTGTACAACAACAGTGTGGAGAGACAGTGACAGAGAGAAGCAGAGGCACAGAGACAGGCCAGGTTCTCTGTGTTTCCTTTTGTTGCAATAAAACTCAGCTGATCATCCCACATGAGTACCTTCATTCTTGGACCACGTATTTCTGTCTTTGTTAAAAAATTTTTTTACCATAACAATAAGCTACTGTAGCTCTGTGGTCAGTGCCATGGTCTTGTAATACTGAGGCTGTAGGTTCAGCTCAGGTTTTGTCAGGAAGGACATGCGACGTAAAACAATTCCCAAATTTTAAGTGTGAAGTTTGCTTTCTTTGGCAACCCCTGCAGAAAGCAGAAGTTGAAAGAAAAACAACAATGATATGTTTGTATATGATTCACTGATGAAGCCTTTTTAAGCATGAGATGCAACTCTGGGTTAAACTTGCGAGTGTTTTCTGATGATATTTAACATAAACCAGATTTATTTTGAATCAAAGTTAATGCTTTTTGTTCCAAAACTGTAAGATTTCTGTTTTCGTTTTGGCTGAAACACATTAATTTGATATTAAATTCATTTTTAAATAGATCACACTCAAAAAATATATTTGCAGCATAAGATACTGAAGAGTCATTAGTTTTTATTTTATATCATAAAATAAAGGACAGAGAGTCTCTGTTAGTGTTTTGTACAGTATGTGCATGCATGGTTTTCAGGTCAAGTAATATGAATCATATAAATGAATGAGCCACAGCACAACAATATTTGTTTTCTTTAGTTCCTGCCTTATGTGTTGTGCATGTGTCAACCTTTTTAGCCTGGAGTATTGAGTCTTGAGGAAAAAAAAACAAACACGTGTGATAAAGATTCATAACAGCCTGAAAACATGTTTGGCTCTGCTCTTTAAGTGAATGATGCTTTAGTCTGAAGAGATGTGCGTCATTTGTGGGGTTTTGAAGCCTCAGGTTTGTGCTGTCAGGCGAGTCGGTTATTTTCTCATCAAGGTTTGTTTCTTTAAATGACCAGTACCAAGCAATTTGGATATACAGTACAGGGACAATAATGTTCCAAAAGATGCTGGTCTACTAACCATGTATAGATTATAAGAGCAATATCGTTTGTTTTACAAGTTGTGTGTTGGGGTTATGAAGGCTTCTTTAGAATAATTGATGATTTTTAATGTTTTTCTAAAAACACAGTGCCTATAAAAGTACCTTAATGTGTTGCTCTAACGAAGGTCTTTTAACATAAGCTAAGTATTCTACTGTTAAACACAAACACCAGTTTGTGGTCCAGCACCAGTTTAATTGGTAATGAAGAGAGTCACAACAAATGTATAACCTGTGTGTATCTTAGCATTTTGGCTTTTGAAATACTGATGTTTTTGGCAAATTTGTGTTTACTTAATTTTGCTAATCAGTTTATTTACCTTTTATTACTGAGTTTCTTCATCCTATTTTGTGACTTTGTCACAACTAGACATTTTTTTTTAATAATGCAGAGGAATGTTGTTAGGTTTCAATTTATCTGCTTTATTTACAGGTTATACTTATGCAGAGCTGAGTATTAAATTTAATTACACTATGAAATTGGAGTGAAATGGGTAAAATAATTTCTGTGCTTTGTGTCTGTCTCTAGGAGCTCAGCAGTGGCACAATGCTGAGGATTTCTATTCCTGAGATTGCTACGTCTGAGCTGGGTAAGACGCACACACATGCTTCAAATGAGCATGACTCGTACACAGATTAAATTAAAACAAAATGGCTTCTGTTGTAAGGCTAACTGTTAAAAAAATAATTAATACATTTTGATAGTACCCCCCCTTACCGCACACAGATGACTGAGTCAGAGCAGTTAGATCCTTTTTAATTAGGTTTGAGAGCTGCTCTATGTTTTACAGTGACGTATAATCTTGATTTACTGAGGATGCCATCACAAAGCAGACACACATTTACAGTAATTAATCTATTACGTCAGTGTCCTCTGCAGAAATTGTCCTTTCTAAGCCTTAAATAATTATTTTTGTGTGGCAAACATGCACCTATAAATGAAATCAGTTGAAACTTTTGTTTACAAAACAAAAATAATAATGATGTAGAATTGGGTCTTTTGTTAAACTAAAATTAGAGTTGATGGTTTGTGTTTGTTACATACAAGTTGAATGTGATGTATGGACATCTAAGTAATTTACAGTACAAGCAGGGTTTGGCGGTATTGGCAAAATAGATCACAATTAATGTTTAGCCAATAACAATTATTATGATAATTTATTAGATTACAATTGCAGCAATCAGTCAACTAACTTCTTTATTTTAAACAGCCACACCCCACATTATCTCCTTCCAGCACTTTGCTGCTCATAAGAATCAGATTGACTGAGTGCATCGTGTATTCTTGGCCGAGTAGATTTGTTTCCAGCATTCACTGGAGAAGAGTTTGATGTAGCCGACATTGCCTCAGTTAGCATTGTCTGACTTTTTTGTATTCCGGTTTATGGCTGTGTTTCAGGTGAATAAACAAATCTGTAGTGTTAGCGTTAGCTCTGCATTAGTGTTTGCTCTGCATTAGAGTAAGCTCTGTGTTAGTGTAAGGGCCACATTAACATTAGTGTAGCTCTGTGTTAACATTAGTGTTTGTTCCACATTATCATTAACATAAGCTCTGCATTAGCACTAGTTCCATGTTAGCATTGGCTCTGTGTTGGTGTTAGCTCTACATTAGCATTTACTTGTATTAGTCGCTAACTGTAGTTAGATACACTTTGCATTTTGGGCAGTTAAATTGAAGTTCTCTGTTGTCTTTGTTGTTCATGTCAATGTCAGCATCATCTCTGTTGTTTGTATTAAAGTTATGAATTTTAAACTAAAGTTAGATCATTTTTTATTTTAAACCTTCAGTGTCACTCGGGTGTTTGCATGACTTTCTTCCCTAAGTTCCTTTCTGGTTCTACTGCTCCCTGTTCTTAAGCTATCGATTGACTAGAAAAGACTTTCCTCCTCTAATGAAATGGCATTTATCCACCTCTTTCTTGACCTTTCCTGCTTCGGATGTCCAATTAATATAGCCTAGTGATGTTGATTAGGAATCTGATTGGTCAGACATGGTGGCACTAATTACTGCTTCAGTGTTTTTTTTCCAATGCCACAATGTCTTCCTGTAATTTTAAAATTATTAGTTGTCTGTAAGTCCAGGTGTGGTATTCTACCAACTGTATTTCCTGACTGAACTTCTGAATCAGTAGGCAAAACAGTGGTTGAGGAAAGCTATTTTTTTTTTTTTAGCACAGAATGTCCTCTCTGATATTTGACAAGTTGAACATATAAAAAATATAATTGTGAGTTCATTTTGTTACATTTTAGTGGAACAAATAATGGCCTTTATAAATATGATGATCTAGATTCCTGGTATTTAAATTTGTAAAGCAAAACACTTTGTGTACATAAATTCAGGATAGGGCTGCCACGATTAATCGATTAGTTGACGACTAATCGATTATTAAAATAATCGATGACTAATTTAATAATCGATTAATCGTTTTCTCTTTTGTTTKTTKTTGTTCTTTACTTTGTTTTTCTCTCCAAACTGCTTTGACACCTTCCACTGCCACATCTGCCTTTCTGTCCTTGACACACATGCACAGTAGTGGTAACTGGGGTAGGCCATGGACGTCACAATTATACAGACAGGCTCTGGTATCATGGCTACCCAGCAACGGAGCTCAAAAGTGTGGGATCATTTAAAGAAAATGAAAGAGAAACCTGTTTAATGCGATATCAGCAAGGCAGAACTTGCCTTCCACTGCAGTTATTTTTAGTTAGCATGTAGCTAAAATCTAACGATGGTTATATAATAGCAGCTGCATTCTGGCGCGATAAGCTCTATGTTTTCTATTCAATTAACATATGATCCGATTAGTCGATTAATTGAAAAAATAATCGGTGATTAATCGATTATAAAAATAATCGTTTGTGGCAGCCCTAATTCAGGATTATATTTGAAACCTTAAACCACAATTACATTTTTTTATGCTTAAATGTGCACACACAGCATAGCCACGATTTGGCTCCTCAACTTTAATGAGCCTTTAAATTGAGGCTTCACACAAAAATGTAAAGATTGCTTTAGTTAGGTAATTCGCTGGTTAACCATTGATGTAAAACTTTGTGGGGGAAAAAATAAAACTCATGAAAAATGTATACTGAAGTCAAGAAATCTAAAGTTGATCTGCAGTTTTCTGATTACATTATTAAATTCTGTCTTCTCACATTGGTCAACTGTCATAATGTCTGCTCGTTCTCTTTTCTTCTGGATTTTTTTTTAGTGAGAAAGTGCCTTCAGGCAATTCGATTCATCTTGCCCAAAGAAGCTGCTATGAAGGTTTGTAAATTTAAAGTGTTGGGGAAAATGCATGCTAAGTCTGTTATTTGTGTTTTAAGGCTAACTTTGTTGTGATTAAGGTTGCAGATAAGTGAATGGCATTGGATTTTTTTACATGTAAAATATATATTTTTACTCTAATTTGTGTAAATTGTGCAGGTTTTGGTGAAGTGGTACAACATCCATAATGCCCCTGGAGGACCCAGTGCTCATGCAGAGTGGAGCCAGTTTGTCACATGTTTTTTAACACTCATGGGCTACAACACAGAGCGACTGGCTTGGACCCGACAAGTAAGTCCCCGTTTGAGTTCCTTCTCTTTCTCTTTTAATTGTCAACAATCAGTTGCACTTGAATCTCAGATTATACCGTAGTTTTTCAGAATAGATTTTAATTGAAAAGTGATTTGAAAGTTAGAAAACCTTCACCTAAAATGTTTTTAGCATTAACACGTGAAAATACTCTTATTCTCTACCATCTGCTCTCTTTCCCAAGCTGCATTTTGAAGTGCCTCTTTCTCCAGTTATTGCAGCGAAGAAGGCTCGTCACTCTGACCAAGGCTCCGATGAGGTGCGTGTGTTGTAAGGATCGATTATCAATAGGCAACAAACAAGTTATAAACTGATAGTTGTGAACAAACTGGTCCATTTCTAGGGAATAATCATTTTAGCACACATGACAGGATATGTGCAGGATACTGAGACATAAGACATGTTGTAAAGAAGAACACAGTAAATGGTGTTTGTGTCATCACTGCGTGGTGTCTAAATAGGCTGTGTTATATATAAGGACTGAATGCAGAAAAACAGACATTTAAAGCGATGTTCTAGTCCTCATATTGCCTTAAGATGATTTTCCTAAATTGCCCTTAACTAAATGAGATTCCCTAAATAATTAGTGTTTTGTGTATGTTCTTGTTAAAACAAACATGACTATAAAATGTCAATCAACTAGAGGCTTACAGTGGGATGTTTTTGTGTCGTTAAGTTGAGGAAAAACGAGTCAGCTTCAGCTAATATGTAGTTGATGTAGTGTAATAATGTCCAGACAAAACGATGAGAGGACCAGAATACATGTTGTTTGCAGCAGCATGTCAGACCACTAGAGGGAAATTTGATAAAAGTTGTGCTGCATGTTGGGGAAGTCCTCCTTTTCCATGTGCTGATTAACAATTTAAGGATTACTGAGACAAATAATACTTTCAAATTTTACCGATTCTATTTTTGAATATCCAGTTTTGGTTGTCTTTATCATCATTTTCTCTCCTTGCTTTTACATGTGTTTTTTCTCTGTAGGACTGGGACTACTTGATGTCTTCTCATTACCACCATCAGATAATTTTCCAGCCTGTCTGTAGTTCAGTGGAGTCCAGTGATGCTGTTACCACAGAAACAGAAGACCTATCTTCTGTATGTAACTCTCTGTTTACGTTAGTATGTGGTATGCTGCTGTATTTTCTGCAAACAAGATACAGAGTGTAAATGGTGGGACAGTTCTGTTTTATTGGGTTAAACTATAATAGGGATGCATTTTATTTTGAAAAGACTTGATGGTAATATTCTGCTTCTCATTTTTGTCTTTAATATTCCACCAATATTTCTTTCTTTTTTGTTTAGGTGTCCTCTGCCTCCAGTTCATCTCTGAAGCTGGAGAGTTCAGCTCCTCTTTTCCCTCACATTCCTGCCCTTTTCTATGTCCTTCATCTGCTGTATCAGGAGCTGCAGCTGGATGAGCTGCACAGAGCGCGAGCTTCATCACTGGTGTGTCTGCTGCAACAACTAGCCAGGTAACCAGGATTGTTTTGTACTTTGTTCTTTTCTTTTTAGCTGCTACAAAGCAGATAACATGTGGCTGATTAGGGCCAGTGAGTGAAGTGTTTGAGTATATATGAATTAAAATGTGGAGGGGAGAACAAATGGTCTCTGTAATAAACAACTGTTACCAAAAATGAGATGAGAGCAGTGTCACCGTCTACAACAAACACAGTCTATTCAAAATTGTTCTAAACTGTGCTGAACTTTCACAATGGGAAGGAAAGAGGGAACACAGCTCATTGTTTTAAGTGAAAGTTTGTATGTAATCAAAGCCCTTCAGTGATTTGCACTGAGTTAAACTTTTACAGACTGTCAAGTGACTACTGTCAACAGTGACCATGATGAAAGAAGAATAGATGAAGTGGGAGAGTGAAGTGCTCTTCACAGTATTGGACTGTATTGTTGTGATGTGGGTTGCATTTAAGTATAGTGCAAATTTTACTCTTTATTTTTAACTGGTTAAGCATAGAATAATCCATATTGTTTAGTTTGACTTTATGGAAGATTCTTTTAATTAATTAATTTTTTTAATTGCCATAAAAAGATTTCAAATTTTAGTTTTTTTCTGTAAGTGGTAGTGACTTGAGCCACCAATATGTTTTCCATTGAGCATAGATAATGTGATCTTTTTATGTCTCGTAGAAAAAAAATGTTCATTTTTTATGTGAAGAGGAGTTTTAACTGATTTGTAGTTTTTAATTACTTTTGTTCTGTGTTCAGTGGCAGTCCAAAACAAGTTAAATGCCACAAGAGCTGTTAAGAGAATGTCAAGCTATTTTTGAAATGGTGCTAATGACTTTTCAACATTTAGAGTCCAGTTGTGCAGCCGTAGGCACTTTTAAAATACACACCTCATGATTAAAGTATTGAAATATTTTAGTTTTGCATTAATGGAAATAATGCTTATGTACACTTTGATCTGTTTAGAAGAATCCAGAATCTGAACTGTAATGTTTTGGGCCTCTACATACACTGAGTATGTAGGTGCATTTATGTGTTCAAATTTTGAGTGTTTTCTTTGTGTTTACAGAGACCTTCAATTAGAAGAATATGTTGATCTGTACTGGAGAGACTACCCTTCATTAATTAGTTCCTTTACAGAAAGCTGCATCATAGACCAGGGTAAGTTTCTTAATAGCTTTTAATGGGATTCAGGCAGGAAACTAACAAGACATGTCATTGTGAAATAAATAAGGCTTGGTTGCTAATAAAAACCAGCTCCACAGTCCATAGAGTTCTTTGTATTTGTGGAGGCAATTGCGAAATAAACATATTATTTTGTTACATCTGTATCCAATTAGGTCTTTTAATGGGGAGAGTTGAGCTCTCTTCTGTTCCCTTGTCCTTTTGTTGCCTCGACTCCATCTTTGTTTCTCGCTGTGTTCCTCCTCAGCTGTGATTGGTCAGATGCACCATCCGTCCTTCTTGAGCGCTAAGCCTCCATGTGTGTTCAGCTGGCTCAGTAGCTGCTTGAGAGGAGAGGAAAGTCCACCTTTTCCATACCTGCCTGGCATCTGTCAGAGGACCAGACTGATGGTTCTGGTATGACCAAAGCTCATATTTAGTGTTTTTAAGGAGTTAGTATGGTTAATTGAGCTTAGTGGTGTATAATCCTGGTCCTCTAGAGCTGATATCCTGCAGGGTATTTCTGTGTTTTGATATACCTGATTTTGAATGATTGGGTAATTACCAGGCTTCTGCAGAACTTGAAGTTCATTGACTGGATCAGGTATGTTTTAGGGAAACGACTAAACCATGCAGGATAGTGACCCTCGAGGACCTGGATTGGACACTCCTGAGCTAGTGTTATAGTAAAGCTCAAGGATATTGAGTTCATTGCTTATTATATCTCATACTAACCTCATAATAATTTAAATCAGATCTCTGTGGGGGTCACGACATCAGTTGCCCTTGTTCTTTTTGCCTTTGAAAATTGCTCTTTGTGACATTCTGATGCTGCAAAACTGATAGTGTTTTATGAAAAAAACAAAAAGCTAATATTTTAAAGGTTTAGATGCCAAAGTGCATGCATATTATTAATCCTATGATTTCAGGATATCAGGATGTAGCACTGGTGATTTTTGAATTAGTCAATAATGGATCCACTTCATCAACAGTTTGTATTTATTTGAAAAATTGTAACAATATTTAGATAATTTAGCTTCAGAATGATTGCTCTAACAAAATAAAGTAAATGTTGAGACAATACTGTCTTAAATTAATGCAGGTGACTTATTTAGGATAGAAATTTCAAACTATTAACAAGGTAAAAAATGTTAACATAAATCAGATTGTCTGGGTAAGTGCAGTGATCACACTAGAAAGTCAAATTCTACATAATAAAATAATTGTAAAGTGTTTTTTTTTAATTCTCTGTTCTGTTTTATTTCACAGAGTTATGCTCTTTACATCATTGGAAATGAAAATGCAACTTCAACTAATGAATCAAAGTACCTCCTTAAACTTACAGCAGGTATGTTTAGTTGGATTTTGATCACAAAATCTGAACTCTTCAAAACAAACAAATATATATATATATATATATATATATATATACTGTGTGTATATATATATATATATATATACTGCATATGTATTATACTGTATATATAGTATACTGTATATATATTTATATGTCTTTCATTTATTTAAATTTTTTTATGCTGCATATGATCTGGTAGCAATTTTTATTTCCTCAAAGTGCACCTGAAACAAAATGTACTACAGGCTTGTAGACTTTTGTGTTTCCAAAGTTTATTTTCCATGTTATTTTGTTTATTTGTGTGTATGTGTTTATGATCTGCCAGTTCTTTAGTTCCCTGCTTAAGGGCTCGGCGTTAAGAATAAAAAAGGTGTGTGATGCAGGTTTTCCAGTCATCCAATCATCCTTTTTTTTTTGCGACAAACCCAGTACCTTACTTTAGTGGCAGTCATCACAGCAGATTTGATCTGTCATTGTTCCTTTGTGACAAAATTTAGCTGTAACTTTGTGGGCAGTGTGAGAACTTTCTTAGTGGTTTTTGGTTTTGTTTTGTTTTCCTTTTGTTCATTTGTAAAAAGCCCAATTGCTTTTAACTCAGTCAAAATGCCTTTTTGCACTAATTTTAGTAGCAGATTCATGTAGGTTCTAAATGAATATAAATTTGATTTAGATTTGGAACAGTTTTCTTCAGAATCTGAGCTGCTGTAATGCACCTGATTAAGCAATTGTAAAAAAAAAAAGGCAAATGTTTTGCTTTTTTTTGCTGTTTATTCTTTCTTATCATTTCCTCTTGCATGATTTTTAGGTCAAAAGTCCTGTGCTTCTGAGCAGAACTACAGAAGGTAAAACAAGCTTGCTAAAATGTGAAAAGGACTTTTAGTTTTCAGTTTATTGAGCTTTTATTCTGTAAAACATTGTATGCAAATGTTTAAGCTGTTTAGACTCGTACATGAAAACATTTAAAATCATACACTAAGCAAATTGAGCTCAAATAAAAAGGGTTCATGTTTTTAAATTTGTTGCAACTGTTTCCTCATTGTGCCCTGTGATATTATTATTTTTTCAATGAAATCTCAGTAATGTTTAACATTTTTTCTAGACAGAGCAGTGTGAAGGTGAGGTTTTCCAGTGAGAGTCTGGCTGAGCAGCTGGTGGTCTGGCTGACTTCACAGGGTAGGAGAAGCATCTTTTCTGTAGAGGATTTTTGTTTTTCTTCTTTTTAGACAAATCTTCCTATTTGGCCCCAGAATGATTCACATATTCATTGAAACTAGAATCGTTCAAAGAAAACCTGTATCTTGTCAAGTTCTTAAAACTCATTTTCCATTTTGGTGTATAATTCCAAGCCTAAATGGTCACATCTCTCATCCTTTCCTTGTCGTTGGTGTAGGTTTCACCCTGAAAGACTTGGAGTCTGTCCCTTTCGGAGTAGCTTTGCCTATTAGAGAGGCCATCTATCGATGTCGTGAACAGCCATGTGCTGATTGGTCGGAAGAAGTCTGCCTGCTGATTGGGCGACAGGACTTGACCAAACAAGCCCACAAGATGACCCTGGCAAAAAGCAAAGCCGTAAGTGTCAAATGAATAAAGAGCTGTTTTGTTTTGTTTCTCTTTAGTCATCCAGAGTACCAGGTGTCCACAGTCAATTATATTTTCATTCATATATTTACTAAAAATGCTATAAATGTGGACAAAAGTGCACGTTTTAGGTCTTTAAAGATTTTAGTAATGTCACATTAATGTTTTATTTGGTTTGAAATTGTATTTAATGTGTTTTAATTAGAAAAAATGAAGACTTGTCAAATATTCAGAGTAAATTTCTATTATTTATAAGAAGTTTTGTTTTTAGGTACCAGATTATTTCATTATTCAATGATGGCTTGCCGTGTACAAACCACAAGAGAAACTTTTTAAAAAACTGTACCTGAAATTCACAAGATTTGGTGATTTGTAAAAACTTTTCCAGTCTGTAGGTTCAGGACTGTCCTTGGAGCCCCCTGCAACAACAGAAGCAGATGAGGAAGAAGATGGGATGTCAGACATCATTCAAGAGGTAAAGATTTATTTATTTTTTTACATAATTACTCTGTCCGTTTTTTTGAAAAGAGATTAATTTCTTTAGTATAAACTCTTCAGCAAAGAGATTCTTGAAAGATTTATTCTTCCCCTCTTTCTCCTCATCAGGTCACCGGACTGATCTGGAGTCAGGATCTACGAGTCCAGGAAGTGAGAAGGCTTCTGCAGAGCTCCAGGCCGGTCCGGGTCAGCGTTGTCCAACTACCTGAGGTTTCAGACCACGAGTATATAGAGGAGAAAGAAAACAAGTAAGTACAAAACAAATGTGTCACTATTTACTCATAGGATACAGATGTTAACAAGCAACCAAACAATGGTTTTAAAGTGCAACAACCTGTCCTCTGTTCTCACCTCATGTGTTTTACAGTTTCAAACTTAAACATTAATTTTGTTATTAAAGTCTGTTTGTTCAATTCTGTGTTGTTGTCTTTCTCAGACTTCTTCAGTTGTGTCAGAGGACAATGGCTCTTCCTGTTGGCAGAGGCCTTTTCACGCTCTTTTCTTACCATCCTGTACCCACTGAACCTTTACCTGTACCAAAACTCAACCTTACAGGTACTGAGGACGTGGTGAAGCATTAAAGTTATTTTTTAAGTTTTTTTTTCCTTTTAAGAACAATTATTGTTTTCTCTAGTCATGTTTTATTCTACTAAAAAAACAGGAAGACTTAGAAAACCGTGAAGTAAAAACTCATGAAATAGTTAGATCAAAGAGATTAAAAAAAAGAGTTTAATTTAGCAAGAAGATGAGGTGTTTGCATTTTTGTAAAGATGGGGGATATTATTAATTTAATATTAATGATAAATGAATATGTTTTTACTTATGTCTTTTTTTGTTGTTTTTCTTCTCTCCAGGTCGTGCTCCTCCCCGGAACACCATGGTTGATCTGAACAGTGGAAACATTGATGTTCCTCCCAACATGACCAGCTGGCCCAGTTTTCATAATGGAGTAGCAGCTGGACTTAAAATAGCCCCAGCTTCACAGGTTAGTCTGAAACCAAGTTAGAAAATTCGTGAAAGCATGCTTACTAATAACAGTACTATAACAACTACTACTTTTGTTACTACTCTGTACTGCTGGTTACCAAGTTGTGAGTAACAGAAAAGCAGCTCAAATGTTTTTAAAAAATTCTTGTATTTATTTGGCTCAGACAAAAAAGTGACTAAATGCTGCAGATTAATGTTGTACCATAGAGAACAAAAAAAATGGATCACACTATTTTTACTTGAATGTTTCTACTTCCTCTAAAAAATAATTTTATTTCAGATAAACCTATAGCAACTGTGACTGTCAAACAACAAGCAACAGTTCAGACTTATTCTATGTTGACTTTTTTGGCACAAAATGTCATCAAGCAGCAACTGAGGGTTATTTTAAATGTTGCTAGATTAATGGGAAGTAGTACGTGTGTGAAATTTACCTAGGTTTATGCTTGTTGGTAAAGAAATTCTTAACGTGCTCACCTCTTTATATCTTTCATACATTTTGTCAGAGCAGCATTCATTAAACACTGACTTGATTGTTCATGCGTTCACATCATTTTACATTTATCATTGTAAATACTAAAACACAGTCTGAAAACTAACTTGTTTGCCTTTCATTTTTAGTTTTATCATTACTCTGTTGCAATTAAAACAGTATTTTAGTAACTTACTGTTTTTTTTTTGTTGTTTTTATTGTTTTTTTTCCTTTAGGTGGACTCGGCGTGGATTGCCTACAACAAGCCAAAAAGCCCTGAACTGGCTAATGAGTATGCAGGCTTCCTTATGGCTTTGGGACTGAATGGACACCTCACCAAGCTGGCCACGCTCAACATACATGACTACCTCACCAAGGTTAACACATTTCTGCACACAGAGAAGTGTCCTCTTCCTTATTGCTCAGTTTCCAGTAGATGGAGTTCTACATTAAACTTTTTTACAGCACTTTACATGAAACTGTACTTGTGCTGATTTGCTTGGAATAGCATATATGAAGTACAGGTTAAAAGAAGAAACACCCCTTTTACCCTCATTACCTTGCAGACACACAATATGCTCAACTCTCTCTAGATGAGTGTAAATGAGGCAGATAAACTTGCATCAAAGCCAAGCAGCTAGTCAAAGCGAAACTCTACCTTCTGAGAAATTAGAGAAAAGACACATATTTCCCACTTTAAGGTGAGAAAAACAGGATGCTGCAAGCTAAATCTTATTTCACCTCAACCAAATCATTTTCATAAAGATACAGTTGAAAAGTAAAAGAAACCACTGGATCACAATCTGTTGAACTGTCTGTAGACTGATTTATGTTTTGTCTCATTTTGATTCAGAATGTGAACTTCAGCTGGAGTTTGATTGTTTAAGCATTTTCACCATTTGTCAAATATATGTGTGCTTTAAAGGAATAGTTTAAGATTTTATTCTACTACTACTTTTATAAGACTACTACATCTTCCTGTGAGCTTTTAGGAAACAACAGTTTTAACTTTCAGCTTTCAAACTGTAATTTATTTTTAGCATAATGATTATATGATGTGCATTTTTTTATTCACACTGACGGACAAAAAACATTTTGAAACAACATTTACTGACATAATTTCATCTTTTCTTTGGACATTTTTGGATAAAAACCAAAAATATTTAAAGTGTTACTTAGAATATGTTTTTACAGAGTGATTTCCTGGCAGATATTTACTGCTGAAGAACACAGTTTAGTCAAAGACAAATGAAGTGAAAGATGGATGGAACTGACAGTCATTAGTGTAAATAAAAGTTGTGAATGTGGTTTAGAGTGAAGCCTGGTGGTTCTGTATTTGGTTTTAACTTGCATAAAACAATTTAGAGACTGATCAGTTCATTAGAATTGTTGTGGTTTTAAAGGGAATGTAGTGCTTCTGAACATGTGAGCTATTTAGTTTTTGCCCTAATATTTTACTACTTGAGCTCAAAACGACTCAGTGAAATTTATAATTTTTTTCACACATTGTTTTTGCCATTAGTAAAAAAAAATAACAGATGACTAAATTGTATAGATATAGCTTAGTTTAAAATACTTCTAGCGCTTTTAAATTTGGGCTGTTGAGAACAAAAGGAACATATACAATCAATAATGTGTTTTCATTAATATCACAATGGAAAAGTTCTAGTTTACAGTTGTGGTCAAAAGTTTACATACACTTGTAAAGAAACATAATGTTATGGCTGTCTTGAGTTTTCAATAAGTTCTACAACTCTTATTTTTCTGTGATAGAGTGATCGGAACACATACATGTTTGTCACAAAAAACAGTCATAAAATTTGGTTCTTTCATAAATTTATTATGGGTCTGCTGAAAATGTCACCAAATCTGCTGGGTCAAAAATATACATAGGTACAGCAACAAAACTTGTCAATTTTGGTGATGTAGCGAGT